ACTGAGCAAGCCTTGACCGTATATTTTGTGGACTACGGGTGCTTTGGAACTGGAATTGCAGGTACCAACTGGATAGAATAGACGTAACGTTAGATGGTCTTCAGATTTGATGTTAGCTATCCGCTATCCGAATGAGGTCAACGATTCTTAATCGTTAACCGTAAACGGAAAGCTCACATTTTTCTCATGCAACGTTAATTAAAATCATTATTGTGTGTATATGTGTGTATATTTATGTTTACAGTATATATAATATATGTTTGTATATAAATTTATTTGTAGTAAAGTTTAAGTAGTATATTTACTCATGTTTTTCTTTTTCCTAAGGGTTCACTGGTAGTAAATTCGTTTTCAAAACTCAGTAAACAACTCATATTCTTATGTTGTATTGATATTTAAGTTTAGAACTTTTCAAATTTCAGTTTTTTAATATGTTAGTTAAAAGGAACGGAAACGACTGTCATTCGTTTCCTGCAAAAATCAACTTTTGCTAGAGTCGCCATCTAGTGGAGGTGCTTTTTTAATGCTTTCGTTTTTTTTAATACTTATGGATATCTAAGAGTACTACTTTGGCTAGTAAGACAAATCTAACGATACCTCCATTATCTAAATCCGTACAGCGGTTCTGAAGATATAAGGCAATCAAGAATATTACATACATACATAAAAGATACGCGTAAAAAACATAACCCTTCCTTTGCAGTCGGGTATAGTTATTACATGTCAAGTCTACCCTTCCACCCCTCTTACCCACCCGCACAGCAATTTTGTTAAAAATACAACTATGAACCCAGCACCGATCACAACGCTGTTGAAGCATTAAGGCTCTAATCAAATAAAATGAAACTTCAAAAGTTATAAAGGCTTTATGTATTTTTTAGTAGAGCTATTTTCCCGCAAATGTCACCGCATATGATGTAGCTAATTATAAGTATTAAGGTAAGGAAAAATAAAGTTCCAGTAGTTTCGGAACCTTCACAATGCATACAAACAAATCTTTCAATTTTGTAATATCAGTATAGAATAATGATAGACTAATGCGTAATTCCAACTTTAGTTAAAAAACTCAACTTTATATCCTATTTTCTAAGTGCTGGTACAGATAGTTAATAAATCTTTTTTCACTTTAGGCACCAATGCCAGTCCTGGTAACTCGGCCAAGATTTCCCGGCTCTCAACCATACACAGGTTACACCATAGAGGTTTTTAAGGTTAGGCCTCCGGGAACCTACGTGGAGGCTAACCTTTGGATAGGTTTTTAAAAAAATTAGAGGTTGCCCTCCTTCCGAACATAATTCGGTTAAATTATTGTAAAACTATATAAAAAACGAGTTTCACGATTAAAGTGTACGATGACCAAAACAATATTCTCGAAAACATTAATATTTGACGAATATTTCAATTTAGTTATATAAACTTAGATTTTTTGTAATAAATAAACCAGATTGTTCCGACAGTAAAAAAGAACTATTAATCCTAAATATCATAGTATCTGTCCAATGCTCTTAATATTTTTTTCACCAAATAACGAAACGAAAGTTTCCATTTCTACCTTTTCCACCGGACGGATTCGGTCAACGAAGAAAATTGGTATTTCCAGTTGGCAGCGATGTTTTCCTGAGACACAATTAGGAGGTTTTCCTCGGGCGGCGAGCCCGTAATAAAATTAAGGAGACTGGAGCGTCGGTCGCGGTAAGTCGAAGCTTCGGTGCGCATAAAACAAATCCGCTGCCGACCGGTGAGCTCCGAGCACTCCGAACGGAGTAGAGCTTTCTTCGTTATTATTTATTGGGAAACGGGAAATTTTGAAATTGGAATTTGAAACCGTTTGGAAGGAAAACGATTTGAATTAATATTTTACACGGTATTTTTTTTTTCTGTGTGTCTATGGTTTAAAAACAAGCAGAGTACTTATCTAGCATTTTTAACCGATTCCATCTTTTATTTACTTGGCTAAGCTTAATCTATTATATTAATATTGTAAAGAGGACTGATTTCATTGGTTCTTTGCATCGAATAAGTTCGAAACTACTGAACCGATTTTAAAAATTCTTTCACCTACGGAAATCTACGTCATACGCCGTATCCAACAATATGGCACATATCAAAATCTATCTTATTGCGGATGCAATGAGTCTTGTCTTTACGCCCGGTCTATACTTTCATTAATTTATTTCCATTGAAAAAGAGGAAAGTTCTGTTATAAGTCTCCTTAATTGAAAAGGACAAATCTGTGTTGCTAAAAAGGACAAATATATCATGACATACAATATTTTAATATTTTAATTTATATATTTTTTTTAAGTCTAAAGAATTTAGTGCTATTCAATAATTTTAAATGTATTAGAGAATTTGATTGAAACATTTCAAATAATTTAACAAGCGTCAACTCCATAGATTCAGCCACGTGCGCGATGTTCACATATTCTGAATAACACTTCAACGCAGCCCATCCTCCTAACGCACTGGACTGGTCCACGTCGCCGTGACACGACTCTCTACGACTACCCTTCAGATATCACGTAATAAATGTAATTGAGGTACATCTAATAGACGCTTTTTATGATAGCAAATTTTTTGTGCATCTTCCGGGAAATTGATTTTCATTACATCCAAGGAAAGTTTTAGCTTACTGTTTTCGGATTTTGAATCTATGAAGGTCGTGGTCGTGTTCCTAGAAAGAGAAATATTAAAAAATAAAATTATTTAATTTTTTTCTAGACCTTATTTTAGCAAGTGCGCTTACCAATTTCTGAGTTGTCACTGCCTAACTCTGTTGCCTTGATACGACATTTTAGCGATGTTTTGACGATATTTCAATTCATGTTACTACTACTTTGACATGTCTTTTGGTGGATAAATGATTTACGGTCAGTTTCATAACCGTCAATTAAATGACACCTTTAAGCTCTCATAAATATCAAATTTGTATATGTAATGTCACTAATGGACGTTTGTGCAACTGGCTGTAAGTTCATGATACTAATATCAAACCTATAATCATCGTTCTTTATCTTTTGTTCGTCGTTACTAAAATATATGTCAAAATAGTCATATATCGCCATAACATAGTTATGATGACGTGACCTCTGCGCCGATAAATTTAAATTATTAAACAAAATAAGCTTCGCAAAATAAATAATAATTGATATTTGAGTAGAAGTACTGAAATTACTAATCCTGCAACGCCGTAAGTTTGACAACTTATTTATATTTTTTTAAGATTGATTGAGATAGTGAGGCACATAATAAACATTTAGAAACTAAAAATTACGTACCTACTTTGCAATTCAAAACATTCATAGAATATTCATCATTCATTAATCCAATTTTGCTCTACTTTATGTAAGTCCTGACATCTATCGACGAGAGGAATACTTAAAGTAAGCCCCCCGCTCTACTCAACTAGTGCCATCTATTATCGAATGCTACAAACATAAATCTGCTCTTCTTTATGACAGATGAGGACTGATTCATTCTTTAAGTTAAATAGAGATGTGTGTAATATGAATAGAACATTAACAAATAAATTCAATTGTAAAGTAATTGATTGGATAGATTATAGAATAAAACGTAAATATTTTTTTGTACCTAAAAATAAATTATTTACGTAAAGACGAAAAGTAGAATAATGGTCATTTGCAATTTTAAGAAAATCAATAGTCAGTAAAACCACCCATGACGTTAACAACGGTCCCGCAACGATTTTTCATGCTTCACATCAACTTATCAAAGTCTTACTGCGGGATATTGTCCCAGTTCCTGGAAAGATGCAAAAAAGTTGCTCTTTAGTGACAATGTTTGTAGGTAAATCCCTCAAAGTCCTTCTTTGTAGCATGTACCACGCGTGTTCTATGGTGTTTAGGTCTGGTGATTGCGCCGGCCAGTCTAAGACCGATACATCTGCAGCCAGCTGGTGACCACTCGCGCTGTGTGGGAAAGAGCATTGTCGTGCATAAGCTTGAATTCTTGACCCATTTGTAGTCAATTTGGGTAGACTATTGGTACTAGCACTAGGTTGAGGTATTTTTCAGGTGTTTCTGATCCAAACGAGGTCTGTTCTTCCACCAACACGAATTCCCGCCCAAATCATAATTGTTCCGCCATGGTATGGATGGACTTCCTGAGGGTGTTGCCGGCGGCTCTCACTATCAGGAGTTCGCCATACGCGTACTTTTCGTGAATCAGGATGGAAACCGAATCGGGACTCATCGGTAAACAGCACTATAGACCACTGGCTACCTTCCCAGAACAAATGTTCATGAGCCCACTGTAATCTTCTTCCACGATTTCGTCGGCGTACAAAGCGGCCATTTCACCAGTAGCACGATAATGTGACGATAACTGTGATATCACGTTTTGTTTTGTTCCGATGTTCTCAGCAATATTTCGTTAAGTAGCCCCAGCTTGGAGCATGCCTACTGCCCTTAACATTTCCTCTCTTGTTAAATGGATGCATAATGTATACAGTAGCACAAATTCAGCTAACTTGTTTTTAAACTTTCGATTAACACAAATATAATTGAAAACTTCGCTTGAATTATGCCGCGCAAATCTTTTGTTTGAGTTTTTTTTTTATTCAAATTTGGAATCATCAAAAAAGGCGTACAAAATAAGTTTTCATCAAAAGAATTTAAAACAGGCCAGTATTTTTTGAATTTAGAACTTTATACAAAATATACGATGTTGATATTAAAATTGAGTTTTTTTAACTGTAAATATATTTTATTTTCATAAGAAAATGATTGACCGTTGAGATCAATTTTTTCTTAAAATTAAACTGTAATTTGACTAAATATAACATGTATTTTATCAAATTTTGAACCATATACATTTTTAAATGTCAATTCCATCAGCTGGAAAAATACTTTTTATGAACAAAGTACAATATTAATATAACCATTTGAACAAATATGTTTTATATTCAATAAATACATTTTTTTTAATTGAACTAATCGATTCATAAAGGTAGCACTCTTTACGTTCATAATGACTCTTCTGTCATTTCACGTCATTTTGACTTCTTCGGACCACAGACTTAGTAGGTATCAGACGACCAACTTCCTAACAAAAAATTTCTTCGTAGAACGTGATTGGGAGCCAGTGATATATGACAGCTTCATTCGTTTTAAATATATTGATCTACTATCGGCAAAGGCATTTAGCTATACAGCCCTGTTTTGGGTAGGTACCTAGCCGTCTTCCTAGTTTCCACATTATTTTTACTTTAATTTAAATTCCTTTTTTGTTTTAATACAACAATAACAATAAAGCAGACTGATAAGTCTAGCTTATTATTATTGTTGTATTAAAACAAAAAAGGAAAAACGAAAACATAAATGAAACACACATTTTTCCAATATTATTTATTGAATATTTTTTAACTTATTATATTTTTCACAGCTTTCTTCTGCATTCTCGGCAATTCTTAGCTACGTTTTTACGTTTTTTAGTGGCCTTATGAAACTTTTCAAGGTAATCACATTTTTTTTAAAGAGGGCACTGATATTTGCATACCTTTTTATTCACATATTTAAGTTTTTCTAAAATTTCAATTGCCTTTGGCCAGAAAGAATGATGCTCTTTTCCTTTATGCTTTTTTTGTTTATCGATGCTCCATTGACACTATCAAATAATTGGTCACAGAATGAAACAACTTCAGCTGTATTTCTTAATGTTGTGCTGACGGGCCTGCCATCCACATAAGTTGCTGCAAATTAAAATATTCATACAATAATTGTATGAAACTTGATTCAAAACTATTAACTGTTAGTAAATTTCATCTAATACTCACAGAAATTTGCAGAAATTTGCAGCTGCAGACATATTTTTATGCAATTTTTTACCTGCAAAAAGAGATATCATATTTAAAATTATCTTCATTAGAGAACCATTATTGTAATTTAAATGTAAACTATATTAACTACTTGTTACATAATTAAAAATACAGGTCATTGAATCAACACTTGCTCTGATAGAGAATATAGAAGCTGAATACAAATTATTTCTTTTATTTATACAAATTTAAGTTAAATATAATTACCGATGCATTACCTTCATCATTTTAATTTTATCAGGTATAACTCATTGGTCATTTAATTTATGACGTAGCCCAGCTTCAGTGTGTTGACAGTCTGTCTCATAGACATAAATAATATCATGCCATTTTGCAAGTTTACTATCCAATATTAAATTTTTTGTTAAAAATTGTTCCTCATGCATTTTATCAAGTGTGTAGAATCATAATGTTCAAATCCACCCCACATATTTTAAGAATGCCAACTGAAACAAAAATTTAAGAACTTCTTAAAACATAGATAACAATATAAAAATAAGAACCTTCACTACTTTCATTAAATCTATTCAAATTCAATTTAAAATTTGATCACACTAAGTGTCTTTTTTAGATTTTTGAGTGCTGATTGGAAAGCTGAGCCTTGGTCATATATTATTGCAATTTGATTAAGGTCCAATTCAACAACTTTTTCTACTACTAACTTTAAAATATTCTTGATGTACAGTAAATGTCGCTCCTTGACAGAAATACTAACATAAAAGCTGTTGCCACTTGCCACTAAACAGCACCAACATAAATACAATAGTATGATCTGCAAAATCCACTTTCTTTTCTTGGTGTTCTACAAATCCATTAATGTTATCGTTGATCCTTATTACTTTTATTATACGAAAGTGCTGTTTCTAATGACATCTCATCAAATATAATGGAGCATATTTTTTGGAGTTTCATTTGTCCACCTGAAAAAATAAATTCAAATAGGTAGGTACATATTATTATTTGGTAGTAATACAAAAAATTATAAAAGTAGTATGAAAAACCTTATATGGAATATATTTACCTCTTACATGAAGCCTGGTTCTATGATCGATTTTCTAATCATAGTATTCAGTGTAGTTTTGGATGATAAAATAAAAAATTTTGCTTAAAAATCAATAACACTTTGGACTCTGTTTTGATATTGATAAAGCAATTATATTTTCTTCGGTAGTGAATCACCTCTCATGTTTATTTTTAGAGCACATGCTCACTTGCATTTCAAAATCATTTTTTGCAACTGTGTTCATTTTTTGTCAGAACTTTTCAAATGATAACTTTTTACAAAACTTAAAGGTATTTAAGTATTCTTAAATGTATTATGAAAGTTCAACTACGTCTTTGGCTTGTTATATTCTTCATAAATTCTCTGGTATAAAGGTGACAATTGGCTTTATTTGGTAATAAGCATTTTCCTTTTTGTTTGGGTACATTTCACAGGGTCTGTAACATCAAAAGTATTCAGTGAATTTCTCTGTTAGAACTACTATTTGATTGAAATAAAGATACACTAAAGAAAGAGACAGGTCTTACCAGATAATTTAGTTTGTGTCATATTTTAATCTCCAGAGCAAGCAACTAATTGAGTAAACTCAGTGGCTGCAGACACGGGAGTCTCAATTTGTTCTTTTAAAATTACACCACCTATGAAATCAATATTGATTATGTGTGTAAGATTAAAAAACAGGATATAATCTTAGATGATATTAGAATATGTTATCTATATTATCAATTTATTCTCTGATCAAAAACACTTCTAGCGTGCCCGCTAGAATTAAGTAACTTAATGTCATTTTTCATGTGTAAGAAAGAGAGATCTACTAGACTTTTTTAAAGCAAAAATCTATATTAAAATACACCAAAACTGCAGCATGAACTTTGTTATCTAAATAAAATAAATTAAAAACAAACCTCTGTTCAGTTCCACTTTCTAATATGTGTGGTCAACATGACTTTTTCTTGCATAGCTGTGTTCCCAAGTGAATATAATTTCTGTAATAAAAAAAAATCTAATGAAGAATAGCGGTATTCCAAAACACAACATAAAGTGAAGATACATATCATTTTAATTACATTATCTGAAGGTAATAGCAGATTAAACCAGCCTTACCAGTATTGTTTGAAGAGGGTAGGCTGATTGAGAGCCCATCATCAATAACCAATGACAGATATGCATCACCCAAGAGTCATGATTTTGGAGTGATGAATCTTGGTACAACGTGTTTGCTACAAATGACACTTCTGCCTGGATTAAAATTTTCAGTACCACACACAGCACTAAGAGATTGTAACCACTTGGAGAATCTTTTCCCGTTCACTAGAATCTTATAAAGAATAGCGTCCTGTTCGTACTTTAACAATGCGTGTAACACAACCATAACACAATACACCAATTTCTTAGGCATCTTCTACAAATAAAAATACTTCGAAAAATGGAGAGTTTATATTACAAATAAAGCGAAGACGGTAAGCACAAAAGAAACTCTACTCAATCACTTGTAATTCCCTGATATGTAGGTACATACTTTAGTCTTCTTCTTCTTTTATTAATGGCATATCTGCGCATTTCACACAATTTTGCCAATGTGAAATGAATAAATTAATCCCAACATGTAAAATAAATTAAAAATTGATTAAAACATTACTAACTTTACTCTTTGTTGTAATGACAGTTTCTGTCAGGTGTCATGTCTCCATCTACTGACAGGGGTGAGGGGCGTGAGGAAATGTCATACATCACTGGACCCTACGCGATTGGTTTATTGTACGGAGTTGACGGGCCGTGCTTCGGACGTCGAATGAACAGTGACTTGACATTTGTTTGTAAATCAATACGCAATATTTATTACGAAGTGAAATTATCGGGTAGTTGATATTCATTTACAGTTACGGAACAAAGCAAGCAGAATTCTTTCTAGAATTGTATGTCACAACCGTCTGCAATGACGAACACGCTGTGTGTTTGTCTTTTAATTACAATCTTTTGCTGTACAAGTAAGTTTATCACCTTTATAAAATCGGCATTGGGGTGCAATTAATTTCGTCCTTGTATTGTTTACTAGTGTTTATCTTTTGCACGTCAGTTACGCCTTACTGTTACTGTTGTACTTTACAATATGAATACGTAGTGTTCTAGTATGTTACCAATTTTATATTTTTCTTTGTCTCAATTAGTTGACATAATTACATGTCTTATCTTTAAATATTGAGTTCAAAACTTTCAATCGATATTTTGCTTGCAGATTTGTCGTTAGCTCGACAAGTACCAAAAGAATGTTCTAAAGGACCGAGCTATTGGTGTCAAAATCTCAAGTAAGTTCTCTTTTTCCCACTTCATTGCTGTGGATAATCAATGTACAATGAAAACATTACTTTTACTTAGTGATGCATTCTTGTTTCATTAGGCAACTTATTATCAAGTAATTTATGTAACTACCTACCTGCAAATAAATATAATAGATTGAAGTACCCACTGTATTTAATTCTTTCGATTGCTTTTGTTGATTTAAAAATGTGAAGATTAAATTTATTAACAGATTTTTAAATGTGTAAAGGGTATCAGAAAAAGAGATTATTGGTGGTGAAACAGCCAAGTGGTATAATCAATTCACCCAATTAGTCACTGATTATACTACTTGGCTGCGACAGATGGTACTCAACACACAAAAGACGTTTCATTTTCACTCTACTGGGTTTGTGTTTATTTAAAAATGGCCATATATTGTCTAGATAAATAATAATAATAAAATACTTTATTTGTTCTCTCACATTTATATCATAATATAATAACATCTAAAAAGCTAAGTAGAAGTGTACAATTTTGTAATCTATGTGAGAGACTGGTGTTTGTACTAGTAGAACTATATGATATATGAATGTATGACTCTCCAGGTGGAAATTATATGAGGTGGAAGTAACATATAACATAAAAATAATTTCAACTAACATATATGTTATGCAGAATTATGTTTGTGTGGGTGTGTATGTGCTTATTGTTTGTGCTTTTAGATGTGTATGTTATGAATGGGTTTTTAAATACTGTTTTATTGTATATATAACTTTATTGCTGTTTTAAAAATTTACTAAGGGAGTATTATCAAATTCTCAGTGTCTCCATAATTAGAGGTTTTAACCATGATGTTACTGCCTTTTTACACCTAATTTTAGTTAATGAATAACTTTTAATAATACATATTTATTTAATAATAATAATATTTATTTATTTGCGAAAATATGGTTACAAGATTGTTTTACAATTTTAGACCAGCATATTTTATATTAAAGTCAATATACTTTAGACCATGAAACTGTTATTGACAGACCTTATGATTGAGGTGTTTAGTGAAGGATCAAAATTTATTTAAAACCGCTCTGAGCTCTCTCAACCTTAAATAAATTAGTGTTTGGTGTACCTCCTCACACTGTGATACAATAACCCTATATAGATTGATATAAGACTTGGTATTTCATTTTCAAAACACCTGTGTCGGCGACATCTCACAAGTTTTTAAAGATATAAATTAGCATAAAATAATTTGACTGCAGGAACAGACTTTACTAGATTATAAGGGTGGGCTACAATGGAACGATTAATAAATATTTCCAAATAAACAAAGGAACAATAATTTAACATCATAATAATTTAAATATTATATTTTCTTTCCTCAGTAATACAATTTGCGCACATACATTTAGTATACTTTGAACATTGGTTCTAAGCTGTATTGACATTGATTTATATGAGTAATATGTCACTGATTCAATACTTTTTAGATATAATTGTTTATATTTTATGATATAATAGCATATATGTTTATTCTTTGTTTATGTTTGGAATTATCATTATACCTACCCAATTTGAATAAAATCTGTTCAGTAGTTTTGCAGAAAAGATTATAGGATATAAAGTATATTGAATTATTTTTCTCTGACGTTTCAATTGTTATGTGTGTTTCAATTGATTAATAGTTTTTAATGTGGTGACTCATATTTAATAGGAGTGGGGCTGAATGCGGAGCCGTCGGACACTGCATTGGCACTGTATGGGAGAAACAAAAAGTGGAAGTAAGCAGGAATGATGTGTCAGATAAATTTGTTAGACTGTTCCGGCAATTGAAGGACATTAAGGATCTCATCAATGAGGTGAGTCATTCTAATATAACAAGTACTTGTCTCATTGTACAGTGTAGGGGAGAGTGTATACACATTTGAACACTTTTTAAATAAAATATAATATTTCTTGTATGGTATTACCGATCAAGATTTAATTTATTTTAATATTAGATATGGGGTTTATACTACATAACAAAAATGATATTTATTAATTTTGACTTGTTAAATGTAACACAATTTCTTGTTTTTAAAAACTCAATTTTGTTCAAATGTGCCCCGTGGATGGGGCACATTTGAAATGCATTGGGGGAGTTTTGAAAAACCATGATAAAATGAAAACCATATATCTAGGATTATAATCAACAGTATATTTATGTTATTTGTATCTAATACTATCATAGTACACTTTCATTTATTTCTTAAAATAAATTTTAATTGAATAAACTATATAAAACTCAGATCGACCTGGGGCAGTCTTGAACAAGAGTAACAAACTTATAGTTACAACTGAGATCAAATAAGATATTGTGAAACAATAGTAAAAAGTAATAACATTTATAAGTATCTCAAAAAATACAACATTTCAAAAAGCCTTAAGAAAGAATTTAAAACATGTTAAATATAAAATAAACAAACTAAATAACCTTAATGGCTAAAAAAAAAAAATAATTATGAAAAAAGAAACAACTTTGGTTGTTAATACTTAACACAGCAATATTTTGGTATCCATCCCATTCCCATTAACCCATCTTAAATTTACTAAAGTCAAAATTGAAATTTAATAAAGCAGCTGTACGTGATGTTCCTGCAGTAGGACATGGCTTTGGAAGTTTTGTTACAACATCCATGATAGGTACGAAGGATTCATCTTCTTTTTCAGGGAATAAAAATTTGTCACCGAACTTTCTTTTCATAAAAGAAACTAAAAACATATTTTCGTCTTTGCTTTTGATAACAACCACAAAATACATTTCTACATTATTCTTGGTAGAGTGACATTTTACCAATACATAATCACTTTCATTTAAATTTTCTTTTCTCAAGGAAAGAATTGATTTACCTTCGTAAAAAGGAGCATTAGACTCAGGAATAATTCCACCATCACTTGCATCCATATCAGAATCGTCATGCAAAGATATATTTTCATCTGATTCTGAGTCTGATTGATCATGTCGCAAAATTTTCTTCTTTTTTTGAGATTTTTGTGAAGATTTTTTAGTCGTAGATTTTCCTAAATGAAAAGTTGACGGCTTGCTTTTCATGCGTTCCAGATAAGCAGCTTCTATTGCGCATTTTTCTGGAGTGTCTGTTAAAATACGTGAAGAACCTTTTTTTCTACCTTTTCTTCCAGTACGAGGAGCCGCTTTAGGAAACGGTCTTATTGTTTCAGGAGTAAGTATTATTTTTCCACTTATATTTGCAGCATTTCGATTACTTTTTTCAGATTCTTGTGCAAGCTGAGATGTAATGAGTTTATCAGTTTCCTCAAGAATAACAACAATGACATCATTTCTTATTGCAGATGATGAAGAAGCAAGGACTGGAGCTTTATCAATAGCCTTAGTGGGGGTTGTTGCAGTTTGATCTACTTCATGATCAAGTACTTGGGGACATTGAGATGTAAGCGCTGTGGGTTCATTGATTTTCTCAAGATTTGCAGTAATGACGTGACTTTTGAATGTATCTTCCTCAGCAGACCGAGATGGAATAGTTATGGGTTTATTAGTTTCCTCAAAATTAGCAACTGTGGCATCACTTTTCGTTATAAATCGTGAAGAAGCAACAGGTGGAAGTTTATGAGTAGCCTTAGTGGTCGTTATTACAATATGTTGATCTATTTCTATATCTTCAGCATCAGTGGCGTCACTGTCGATTACGGAGGCTGCAGAAACAACAATTTGGAATTCATCAACAGCCTGGACGTCTGTTATTGCAGGCTGATCCACTACCATATCTCCCGAATCAGTGGCATCATTATGTGGCATAGAGACACCAACCTGATATAATACCTCAACAGCTCGATCAACATTTCCAGTAGCTACAATCAAGGGTCTTTCTTGCGCAGGATGAGTCCGATTGGTCACTTCTGCACATTCAAAGTCATTATCTGAGAATTTATTTCTTGAAAATGGATAAATTCCTGGTGCAGAGAATCCCGATGTAATATTATTGATGGTATGTGAAGCATTATATGCAGGAGTAACAATACTTGCGAGATCGTGAATTGTAATTGTTTTACCCGGATGATTAAGTAACCAATCATTTTGAGCTACTGCAAGCTTCGCCTTAAAAGGACTGTTTACTGCAACGTCGAGTGGTTTGTGAGTGCAATGAGGGGGAAATGTCAACAATGTGATGCCGTTTTCTCTTGCAAAATTGATAGCATCGATGGTGCAATGACTTTCATGATTATCAAGGAGAATAAGAATTTTATCTTCTTTGGTGCATCTAGTAAATTTCTTAATGTGTTGTAGAACTTTTAGAAACAATGGCCCTGTCATCCAGCCACTCGTAGGACTATTTGGGAACCCCACGCTTCCCACTGGAGCTCCAATAAGCATTGATTCATGAAATCTTGCCCTTGGAAAAATAAACACTGGAGGAATGGTATTCCCAAGAGCATTTACAATTGCACACATAGTTATCAACTGACCTCGTTCTGCAGAAACGCTTTGTCCAACTTGCTTTTGGCCTGTTCTAGCGATGACATTGGGTGCTTGTACAACTGTCATGATATTTGTTTCATCTAAATTATAGATACGATCTGGTGTATAATTTCCACGTTGCAGCACATTTTCATAATTATTGAAAAACATCATAACATTATGTTTATTAAAGCTTGTTGATCGAGAAAGGCTGGTATTTTCAGGTTTTCGCAAAGATAATACTGAGTGCCTTTTCATAAAGTTTTTCATCCATTCAATACCCGCAATCTTTTTATTTATCCACTTTTCAGGACACTTTCCTAAAGCGTTTGCGTATTGATATGCCAGTTCTCGACCTTGTAAATACGTAAGACCATAATTCATTTTAGACATTTTTAGAAAGTACTTTTCCAGCATGCTCTCTTCATCGTTTGTGAAAACTTGATGCACAGTGTGTTTGCTACTATATTTTTCATTTTTAGGAGTTATATTCTCCTTATATTTTTTGACTCTATAAAATAAAGTAGTTGGTTTTATGTTGTATATTGCAGCAGCGGTCCTCAGCTTCATGCCGCCGTTGATAACACACAAAACAACTCGTTGTGCATCTTCTTCGTTCACGTCATTTTGTTTTTTCTTTTTATAATTTCGTACCATTATGACTGTAAAGACAATACAAAATTAAACCACTTAGGTACTTCATTTTCATAAAATAAATACCCATATTTTATTAATGTGCACTGTTGAACATTTTATACAAAGCAATTTGATCCAAAAGCAATTTCCAAAGTGCCCCAGTGATTTTGTTCAAATCTGCCCCAATACCGACCTTCAGAAATAAATATTCATAGAGGAAAAACTAACTTATGTTTAATGATCTTATATTTGTAAATACTGAGTCTATAATATAAACAACACTATAAACAACACAACACATAATCACAACTCAAAAATAATACTTACTTTTTCAGAAATTTGCTTACAAGCAAAAATATATTTGTTTATTTTCTTCTTCGTAAAATAACCGGCAATATTTTTGTAAAATGACACTGACATTGACGTTAGTTCGGACCTGACAGATGTGTAGTTTGGTGTTACCAGAATTAAAAAGGTTAAGTAGGTTAGAAAAGATGAAGAATGCGTTCATAAATCGATTGTTTCAAAACTGCCCCTGTTCTAAACTGCCCCCCTCTCCCCTACTGATTCTTACTGTCTATTTTATTGGAATTGTTAATTATTATTTTCTTTTCTCTTTATTTTGGTACAAACAGTCATTACAATAAAGTGACATGACATTTTATATTTAAGCTTAAAAAGACAAATAGTACCTAGAATTTGTTACAAACAATGCTTATGTTTAGTTAATTGTAACAGTTATAGGTATATTAAGTGTATTTGTAACAAAGGAAAAAAATATGTGATTTACAAAAGCGTCAATTAAATTTCTTTATAATTTGTGATTTAAAACTAGCGATAGTGTTACTAAACAAATCTAAGTCCGAGAATTCGTAATTGTATGTATGAAGACAACGGGTAAAGGAATTGTTGCGGGTGTAGTTTTTGCGGCATCAAGGTGGCACAAATATATTTAGAGAATGTGAGGAACAAACGGGCAAGCGAGCTCTGCTAATAAAGTTAATTTAATATTTTAAAAAATTGCCTCTGTACTTTTTCGATTCTATCAACAATAATATAATGTTCAAATAAAGTTTTTGTTGAAAATCTAATTATAATTATCTTATAAAATTAATAGTCATCTATTAGTCATACCAATCTTTGTGTTTCAATAAAGAGAATATGTACATAGGTTATATTGTGAATTGTTATGTTAAATTACTTATAAATAATCCACTAGACTGATGGTATGACACCTGCATAGTTTTCTATAGATAAATTGAAATCTGGATTTATTCTTTATGTTTAAGTATTCAATGTTAATCCACCTTAATATAATGAGTCAGTTATTTATCATTTAAGTCGTAATAGGTTGACAAGCTTGTGAAATATTTTTATGGAGCGGTTTGTGTGATAAGTATTTTTTTTGTGTGACATAATAAAATTAAACGTGATTTTAGTGTTATTACTGTTATTACTACTAGCGGGAATAAAAGCATAATTATAATGTTAACTGTGGGTATATGTTTGTCACATATTTTAGTGTCATGATTTTTGAAGATACTTAATAGATTACTGGCTAGATGGCCCCAATCTTATGTTACCATGTGTGTGCCATTCTCTTACCCATTGTATTTGTAATAATGATGTCAGAACAGATGTAGAAAACTTTCTTGCACCCAGAAACACTAATTCATGCCACTTTCATCTGAACATGTCAATACCTATTTACATTATATGAAGTATAGATCATAGGCTTCATTATATATTCAAAACCTAATAATGCCTCTTGGTTCAAATCAAAATACTAGATATTTTTCAGGACATTTCCTGCGTAAATTATAGCCTATTTAAAAGAATTGTCATGATTGGATCAGTATGTTTGAAGATTACCCCCTACAAACAAACAAAGCTAGAAGCTTTACCTCTTTGTGTGTTTTTTTAAATATCCATGCCCTCTGCAATATTTAACTACAATCAAAGGAGAGGCAGACACAGTAGAATAAAACCTCCGTATAAAAGTAAATGAAACAAATACATAATATGAACACATCTGTGTTAACAAACGAAAACAACATGTAGCTATCAGTGACGGATGTTAACTAATAACGTCACATTGTTTGTATATAACAGCCCAAGTAGCACATAAATAATATATTAACTAAAATAAGTACCGATTTATGTCCTAAAGTCATACTAACATTTTTAATCAGCTCTGGTCAAGTTTCGAATCTGTTTAAAGGCATTTATTTTATCTAATAATGCTTAATGCCATATTATGGTTAATAAAAAAAGTATACCAATGTCAAAACTCCTATTTAACTATTGGGTAATATTAATATAAAGGTGTTATCGTATTTCGGTGATATGAAAAACATTATATATTATATAAGCATTAACGTACTATTTAGTGCACTTAGTTGTATTTAGTCATTTTCTAGAAACAAAGGTTTTCTAATGGTCTATGGTTGTATCGACTTAATGCTTATCCTATATACACATTGAATAAAGAACTAGTAAAACTTTAGCACCGATTTGTTCTTAAAGTATTCTTTAATCAAGCTCAAGCTCCTTTATCTTCTTAATCTATGCTTTTATAAAACATTAAGCTATATTTTGATCAATATTAAGTTATTTATAAAGATAGAAGTAATAAATAGATCGTAATTATTTTTTATGTGAAATTAAAATGTAAAATTATTTTATGTATTGTATTGTAATTGTGGCATTTTATACGCATCGCTGGCGCCATGGACAAAAGACGTTGGGAAAAACAAAGAAAACAGGTGGATATAAATGAAAACTGAAAAAAGAGCATTCTTATTTAATTGAAGCTTTTAAAAATCAAAATAAAAATTAAATAATCGTTTGATGATTATAAGCACTATAAGATACTTCTGAAGTGTAAAAATACGGCTGTAACTAAAATGGGAGTGTGTTATACGGTGAATTACGAGCTCTTAGTTTTGTGTCTAACCATAATACGATTAACAGCTCTACTACACCATATTTGAATACCTAATGCTTTAATTATACGAGTCGCCATTTGCTTTCTTTTTCCAATTCTTACAAAATATTTAAAGTCAACTGTGTCAGATGAAAAGGGGTAAATAATCATTTATTTTGTGCACAGATGCCTATAAAAGCAATTATGTTGTTAAAACAATGCTAAAAAGCCTAAAATTCAACAAAAATTTTTGCTACTAGGTTAATTTTTTTATTATTTTTATTATATTAAAGGAAGTTTGCGAAGGCGCGTGTATTTTACACCATAAACTTGTATATTTTACTCCACAAACTGATGTGTGCAGCTTATTTCACACAAAACTTGTATCATGAGAACCAGCACTCTACACTTATGTTAGACCCTGTCTTGAACGACGCGCGAATTTTTTGTCTTTTGTAATTAAAAAATTAAATCTTTCCCAACATTGCATTTGATAACACTTGTTAATTCATTGCCAATTTTCTCCTTCTGAATTTTCTTTTCCTTAATATAGCCTCCAATTATTTATTTATTAACTAGAGACAACAGCCATTCCAACATAAAAAACAAAAGACATTATTACATTTATAATAAAATCCGGCCAAAAAGTTGCCCACAGTAAAAATAACAGTAAGCTAAGACATAACAAGACTTATACAACCCAACCAATTATGTCATCATAAGCATTAAATTATAAATCTTATTATCAAGGTGTGTTTACACCGGGACTAAAATGAACTCCTAAATAAAGGCAGGTCAGTGCTTACCTAGTACTACTTGAACCGTAAAGATAGTGCCTGCAGTGTCGATATTTAGTACCGGTACAGAAGGAATTGAGTTCTTGGCAATATAAATAATACTTGTTTCAAAAATGCGTGAAATTGAAATCAAATAAAACAATAATAATAAACAACGATAAACTTGATAAGTAACTAAATCTTCATTTATGGTTTTAATTGAATGTACCTCGTCATATGATGTTAGAAAGTTATGGGTTTATATATTATTATTTTGTAAAGAAAAGCTCAATAATATCATAGAGCACACGCCTAATTTATTATGTCCAATAGAGATTTGCGCTATCTCTCACCAGCCTTGCGATCCTGATAAAATTCGAACCCAAATTCGAATTCACTCAGAATTCGGATATCACTTCAAAAGCGGCAGCCGCTCAATCTTAATAATATAATAGATATATTTTTTTTAAACTATAAATCCTTATTTGTAAGATAAAAAAGTAAACATTATGAGTGAAACAAAAATGTAATTACTGGATCGTAGTCTCGTAAGTATCGGTACTAAGGATTAAATTTCTGAGAATTTCGATTGCGACCGAAAATTATCGGTATCAAAATTACTCTAGTAACTCGCTAAAACTCTAGTTAGTAAAGGGTTACCGCGATTACTGTTACGATTAAATTGTTATTGTTTTCAGCCAGTTTCATTGATAACCTTTGTGATTGACACATGTAAGTTTTAAAACGTCATTGACAGTTACATTTTAAATAATTAAATAGGTCTGAATTTATTTAAACAAGCAATAAATAGATGTTTGCATTAAATTTTCGTTCACGTTTAAGCTTTTTGTATTAATTTTAGTCTTTGATATTATGTCAGTTTGTTTACAATAGGGATGACGAGTATTTTTTGTTTGTTTGTCCGTCAGGTAGAGTGTTAAGAAATATTAAACACGTATTTTTTTCGTAATCATAAAATAACGGCGATACACGGAATTGAAATTTCGGATGACGTCACGTTATGGTACGTTTTCTACTCAACTGTGACGTAGCGAACTTTAATGTCTGTTTTCTAAGCTATTTCTTGTTAAATTGAAGTAAAAAAAATACGTATTTAGTATTTTTCTATTATGTGACTGACGGACTAAATAGAATTGCATTTTTTTTTACCCAGTCATCATCCCCTTTATTGTAAATGGCTACATATCATAACATTTAATCTTCTCTTCACATATTACTGCTTTAACTCACCATCAATATTTTTTTTTCGGATATTCCAAGCTTTTGCCTAGGAATCCTACGGCTACAAACATACCTCCATATATTTATCACATAAAAATGTGCAGTGTTAGGATTGGCACTGGTTTTCAAATTTGCAGTGCCGTTGCCACTCAGTCAACGTCGGCGGGACCGTGTCAATACGCCTTTATAGCATTCGAGCCCGCTACATAAATTTATACAATCTTCCAGCAAATCGATCAAAGGTTTTTTTTTTAGGAATATTTAGGCACTCGCGTCAGCTCCGAATGCCACGATGTACCTTACCCAGAAGTGGCGAAGATCTGCAAGGAGAACACGGCGGAACTGCAGCAGTATCTGTACCACGTGCTCGTTTCAGACACATCTGCTGAGGCGATGTGCCAGGTCATCGGTATGTGCAATAATGGCAAACTCGACAACTTTGTCTCCCTCAAGGTGAGTACGGTTTTAAATAGCATTAACAATGTATGGTTTGAATATGAGTTAATATTGATACTATTGGCGACTCGATTTTTTCGCGAAAAGCATTTTAAAACTTTCATATGGTGACGATCTTTCCACATATTTATATTAATTATATTGTCCCGCGGAAACCATGACGTGACATGTTGAGCCGTGACGTCACATTTCAATGGTGCCTTTGCAACAAAGATGTTGGTAGTTTATTGAAACATGACGTCATACGATGCTCTGTCACTGCCACGCAACCATCACAAGTTCAATTTGCAAAAAATAAAATATCTTTACAATTTATTTTAATACTACTTAGTTATTATTAACATCAAGTTAAGTAGCCAGTGGCACAAATAAATAAGTCTGTCTAAGTATGTCTTTGAGATATTTCAATATAACGGGTCATTTGGACTTCGGCCGTGAAAGACAGACAACAGACGAATAAAACATAGAATATTTCTATGTTTTGCATATAGATATTTTTGTCTTGGGTCTTCAAGCTAGAGAATATTAAAAATATTTTATAATAGTTAGAAAACAATGTGAATGAGTTTTTTAAATTCTTTGTTCACAGAAAAAGAAGTCTACTGAACCTAGTAAAAATGAAAAGCATAAAGGTAATTTATCTTCATTTTTATCAACTAAATCATTTTATCAACTACTATTGTTTTATTTCTTTAGATACCTTTTTGTTCTATATAGGTACATTTTACTTACTCATTTTTACTCGCCCGCCCATTTTATTACGCTTTCAGAAGATATTACCTTCTATAATATGAACTCGATCTTATAGTAGGTAGTAAGAAGGTTTTCATACCGCGCAATTCGAAAATGTGGACAACGTTAAAATTTTCGTTTAATGATTTTCAATTGGCTAGTTTATTGACTTTTTTATTTTTTAAATAAAATAATCCATGAATATCTAAGAAATATTGTCACAGCGTGTCTGCGATTAATAGTTTCGGAGATATTGTGTCGGTCGCAAAAAGTCCCTGCAAATTCAAGCCACGAAAAGACGGCATACAACGCTACGGTAACGAAAAACTTATGAGCTGGGCAATCTTTGTAATATCTTTGTCATTTGTGCGTTTATGTTTATTGTTTGTTATAAAGAAAGTTGTATTTTACTTTTTCTACTTTCTTGAAGTTTTCAAAGCGTGATATTTTTCTAAATAGTGTAGTGAAATTTATTTAGTTAAATATTTATAAGTTAAAATGGTTTATATTTTACGAACTTATAACAAAATCCTGCATTTCCATTTATGGGACTCAACTCTATTGCATTAATTCATTTTGTAAATGAATTAAGTTAACATCACGCTGATAGTTTTCTTATAATCAGCATACTATTGATATCCCCGTGGCAAGGGTAAAGGGTTTCCCTGCATAAGGAATCGAATAGGGAGAATATCATTACCCACCACGCTCAATGCGGATTGGTGAGTGTCAAAGTGCGGATGCAGCCGGAAACAGCTTAACTTGTCTACTAAAACACGAAGGAGCTCGTGATAGTAAATTTTCGGTCACCTTTCCTATGAGCGGCCATTGCGAATGTTGCTTAGCTTCCGCATTTCAGACCCAATGCAACACCAACATTTTAAGATTTTATAATGTTTTCAGTTCACCTTGTGGGAGCGAATCGGTGTACTTGGGGACCCTCATACTGGTGCAGTAACTTCAGGTAGATATAATTTTATATTTAAATGGTCACTTTTGACTTGTTGTAAAAAAATATCGATTGATTCCGATACGTATTAATTTACCAACGTTTTAATAAATAAAAATGAAATTGTCTTTTTAAACTGGTTACACCAGTTACTCTTTTGAAATTATGTAATTTGGTAGGGTTTGGGTAAGCATAATTTGTATCTTTTTCACTCCTGTGATAATCTCGTTTTACAAATAGGATACTTCACTGCTTTGAGATTTTTTTTTTAAACTTTTATATAATAATAAAGTTTTCTCTAAAAAGTGTTATTAAATAAAGGAAAAACATATTTTTATATATTTAAAAGTAATTTGAATTGTTACGCGTAAATAATCAGTCACCTGACATTTCGAGCTTTGTCGTCACATTTAAATAAACATGAATACTGGTTGCACTCTCAACAAAGACGTTGATGTTTAGTTTATTGAAATGTGACGTCACACGATGCTCCGTCATGATCGGTCGAGTTCGGTTCTTGTAACCCACAGATTAAAAATCGCAAGTTAACTTTGCAAAAATAAAATATACTTTTAACCTTACTAACAAACTTGATTACACATAGCTTTGTTCACGTCATGCCAATGTGAAATTTAGTTCGAATGAAAGAGACAACACATTGTGTAACTATACAACGCCTACACGTTGCTTATTGGTAAGACCATTAAAATTTATTTTGAGGCAAAAAATACTACATATATTTTCTTTACATATAAATTAACATTTCCAACATATTTCATTATCTATTGTATAACTACAAATAGCCAATTATAATTTTATAAATCTGTTTGTTTGAGTACCTATATGATGACATTATTACGATAAATTTCAAACTGAGAATGGAATAATGAGCAATTCGCGATTGTTTCCCTGCCACATAATATCACAACGTTATCAATAGGTCGTATATATCACATGCTACCGATGCAGTGAACGCTCACTGAATACGGCACAATTGATTTGTTTTATGTTTCTTTGAATTTTAAATTCAAAATGCTATCTCAATATTTATGTTAGAAAATATTTGATATAAACACTGACTCAGATACCAGAAGAACTCATGTTTCTCAGAAAATAAAATTTCGATATATTTTCGAAACGCTGATATGATTACATAAAGGCACGCATTGTTCGATAATTAATAATGAAACGGACTTCCGTTTAAGACCTATCTAGCTTGACCCTGTTTATACAAGATTATAAGAACGAAAGGAGGAAGGGGTGACGGTTTAAATGGGGGTTCCCTCGATATGTTTTATTTTACTTGGCGTCTGTGTTACATAAATTTAGCTTTATTTAATTTATTGTATGACATAATAACAGAGGATGTGTGTGCACTCACCGTTACGTTACCCTTGTCTCCTTTCCTATTACTTTAGATTTAAAATTGCATTAATCAGATGGATGTATCTGAGATGAATAAACGATATTATTATTATTAAGTATAGTGGACTCGTTCGTGGACAAATCAGGCGCTAGCCAGGTAAGCAAAAGCTGAGGGTCGCTCAGCTATAGCGCTCAGCATATTGTGATGCGTAAAGTAAGAACAGACAAATGATATTTATTTCATAAAGAGTTCTTGTACAATAATCGTTATAGTGCTTTGAATACAATATATGAGACTGCGCTAAATGTTGAGGCCTGATGTTGAAATATGGGGGTTCATTTTGAGTTTCTAGTTCAGTGTTGCGCCAAAAATATTCATTAATCTACTAATTCTAAATGTTCATTGTTTATTTTATAGTTTTATTTCTGTTAGTTTTACTTCTACATTTAGTGAAGTGAATTTTATACATTTGTTTTTTAGCTATCAGCTATATTATCAGTGAGCCAAGACAAAACTTCTAATAGAGTATTGTTTACGTCGTCAAAGTTATATTTACAATAGCGTTTTAGTTTGTCGCATTTTTCTGTTACATTATATTGGCCTATATTCGGTCACTTATGCCAAATTATACAAAACCATATTATTGACTTCTTTATTGGTGAAAATCCGCTTTTAGTCAGACAAGGCTTTACAAGGAGGTACTTTTTTTATAACATGTACATACTTAACGCTTTTTTCCACTGTAGTTTAATTCACATGAGAAAACTCCTTTGTATATAACAGCGAACTCTTTGCTTGTCAATAAATCTGTGTTGCATAACGGTTCCGAAACAGTGTCTCGAATCGCGGATATCTTTGTGTCAACAACGATGTCGAATTACGAACGCGAACTTTCTAGTAATTAAATTATTGTGTAACCGTTAAGTATTTTCAGTTGTATTTTCTTGACAGACTCCATTGACCGCTTATATCGCTCACTGAATAGTACAGTGGCACAACTCAAAACCATTATTTCGAGAAAACGCCACATTATTGTGGTGGCATCACATAGATAATTTAAAGAAAAAATAAAAATTTTAAAGGTAATAATATAATACAAACGATTAAACTGTTATGCTAAAAAAATTGATTTTCGTAATTATAAATATATTAGATTTTTATGACTTCGGAGAGCGTTTCTCGAAATTATGGTTTTTGAGTTGTGCCACTGTACTATTCAGTGAGCGATATAGCTTCACTAACAAGGAATATCGGAGGGATTTAGTGGAAAGGTTAGGTTAGGTAGGTGGGTTTTTTTAAACGTATTTAAAAGTAAATATTAAAATAGTATTTCAAATGCAAAATTCACAAAAATAATAACGGTTGAGTACATCTGGAAGCACGGTAAAACCTTTTTATCCTTTTGTGCGATATAGCGAGTACAACACGCTATCTATCTTACTCTAATAAAAGGCGGTTTTGGGTGACAAAAAAGGATAGAGCTACGGAAAAATTTAAAATGCTGTATTACACACGCCAATCTAACACATAAACATAACAAGTATAAATTGAATATATACAATTCGAGTATTCATATATACTGCTAGTAAAGTAATTTTATCGCAGCTGTTTAAATTTTCCGTGTTAGCGTAATGACTGTGTTATGTCAGTTATTTTAAGCGAAATGGTATTCGTTTAAAATGTACGTATAACAACGAACAAGTAAAAATCCAAACCCGAATTCTAATTCACTAATGTGTCCGAATTTACTTCATAAAGCGGCATCTGCTCGATCTTGAAATGACAAAAACGTAATATATACCTAACGGCATAAGTGAAATGAATTTCGAAATGATTTCGAAGAATAAAACATCTGAGACACGTATGAATTAATCAATCTTGTTAAATTTAAAGTATTGGGTATATTGCCCCTTCCATGTATGTACATTTACGAAGTGTGTATTTTTGTATATAAACATTGTATCTTACTTAAAACAAATAACGACTTTGACTGTAGAGGCAGAAAAAGTGACAATTTGTGTAAACCCTTACAGAGGCTCCATGTATATTCAAGCAATTGTTACTGCATGGCAATACGTATTTTTAATAAATTACCGACGGGCACAACCAAGTTACCGTTTAATAAATTTAAGAAAACAGTATTTAATTTATTATTGGATAAAATGTATTATAATGTTAACGACTTCATAAATGATAAATTTTTACATTATTTCGAATAATTTGACATTGCATGTACTAGGAATGATATTGTTATTTATTTTAAGTTTATCTGACATAAAGAAATATAAATTAAATTGTTATAGGTATTAAAATATTTGTACGCTCACCAAGTCGGCAGAATGTGTGTGCTTTTTTTGATAAATACTCGTAACATCATTTCAGTGACCACTTTCTTGCAAATAAATCATTTCATTTCATAAGTTTTGTATTTTTATACAAAAAATGGAATTAATATAATTACTACACTAAATTACGTGTATTCGGGTCTGGATTTTAATGTTAAAATATGTTTATTGCATATTTGTTTTACCTTTAGAACTTTATTACGACACTTTATTAATACGTTACTGTTAGTAAATCTATGTGAACTAAATCGTGATGCTACAACTTGTAAAAAACTATGTACAGTCAACGCCAGCCTATACAAATCAGTTATTTTTTTCAATTGATTTTAAACCTTAATGTTTTGAGCATAGAGTTAAAATGAACTGGAGTATTTGACATATTGTTGTAACCTGACGTCCAGTTGCGTGTACTTGAATATTATATTTTGCTAATAATATACGCAGATATTTAAAATTATGTTGTTTCTTATTAATGATGACAGAGTTCATGTATATGACAGAATTACTTTAAGATTAGCTACAAACATTATCGTTTGTAAACATTTGTAGCCTAAAATGGATGAATTAATAATATTTGCTGATATTATGTTAAAAAATATATTTATTCATATAGTACTGGACGAGAATGCAGCGCCACAAAGCATTGCGTGGACGCCGTGTGGACAAAACAGCGATACCCTGAAGATAATGACAGTGTGTGCAAGATATGCACAGACATGGTGCAGCAAGCGCGCGACCAATTAGAAAGCAACCAAACTCAGGTGAGATGATTATAATAACTGCTTATGTACCTGATTGTACTCAAGGTCGGACCCGGGGGGAGGAAGGGAGTATCGGTGTCGTGAGATATTTGACGTTGATATTTTAAGTGGTGTCAATGAATGAATTACCAAATTTAAAAAAAATGACAATATTTTGTATGTGTAATTAAGAGTGAAAAGATAACGGACTTTAAGTAATGTTTGTTTATAGTTCATTTTAGGTTGTCCTAATTTTTCTCTGTATCTTGACTGTCTCGAACTTTGACTGTGACATCATCATCAACCTATAAATATCCCCACTGCTGGAGCTAGCCTCTAGATAAGGAGAACGGGCTATGACAAGGTAAAAACCAGTGCGCACTTCAAATGAAATCAGGACCAACAGCTTAATGTGCTTCCCCAAGCACAGAGCTCGAAATGATAAATTTTTGGCCACCCATCTTATGACTGGCCTTTGTGATAGTTACTCTCATACAACAGAATTTGAATCTGCTCTTGCATTCTATTAAAGTCGGAGTAACTTGCATAAGATTGTATGAAATTATTTCCGCAGACGTAGCAAGTTCGCCTAGTAACAACTTTAAACGTCAATATTAATCGTCATTCCCATTTGAAATCACGCGAGTTACGTGGTTTACCCACATAAAGATAGTTGTCATAATGTACCAGTTACAAATCATGAGTCACTACTTCCAACGAATGTACTTAAAGTTCCGATATTCATTTAACAATAGTATTCAATTAGTCATTTTACGCGTCTTCTGTATCATCACAGACGATAATGGCCTTTATTGTAAAGCAATTGTTTAAAAAAAGTACTTTATGCGATTAACAGCTGTGTAATCGATTGCAATTGGTAATTTTACAGAGCAGTGTCGTTTTTTCTCATGCAGTTGAAATGAGCTTTATTATCACGATGATAAAGTCTCTGTTTAACAATTAATTATTTTATTATAAGTTGGAATAATCAAATGAAATGAAAATGAATTCTCCAAGTTCGTTATGATAACGAACTTATTGAATGAAATTATTTATACCATAACTAGCCAGAACGGACGGACTGGGACAATAATTATCGCGATATTTCAGTTAAAATTTAAACGGTATCTCCAATTACTATCTGTTTTACCGCGTTTCGCCTGCTTACGTTAGTAGGTACATTATAGCCTACGTTGGCCGCGTATGATGTAGCTTTACATAAGTGAAAGAATTTTAAAAATCGGTCCTGCAGAGTCGAAGCCTATTTAATGCAAACAAACAATAAAAAAAAAATCCTCTCTCTAGTTTCAGGATAGATACATACAACTCTTCTTCGGGAATAATTAAGTCCATTGGCCAAAACCATATTAAAATGCAATCTGTTTGAAATTAAATCAATCAGTACAAACTATATATTTTTTAAATTTTAACGTTTCTATAATTATAATTTTAATACTAAAGGTTCTATAATTATTTTTTCACAAGGGATTATTTCCACTTAATTAATTTATGAAACAATTTAATCCAAACGACGTATTATTTTCATAAAATATAATGCAACATTATAGATAACCTGAAATAAAATGTATGTTTAATTGTAATAAGGTTTTGTATTCGCAATCACGAATGCCATAACTAAATTTGTTCAATAGCTAATCAATTAAAAAAGATATAAGCGTAAAACTGATAAGTATTGGTCTTGCATTATATTAGTTCGGCGTAAATCGTTAAAACCACTTTAATTAGTCAAAAACTAAATTATCCAGAAAAACACACTTTCGCGGATTTACGCGCCTCCCGGATATTGCACGTCCTCTGTCCAGTCTGGAAGTAAGACTCAAATGTTCCGGAGCCTTATCTCCAACCCGTGGTGGGACCCGCCCTGCTAGAGGTGGGCCGAAACAGGGGCTACCGCAGCTGGAAACCGCGTATCGCTCATTTAGAAAGGAACACCTCTAGGATTTAGTTGTTAGGCCCCTGCTATTTGACTAGCCCCATTCTGGGATAAGTCCACAGGGAAAGTCCCACAAAACCCGTGGACCTCGCGTTTGGGATATATGCGTAATGCATTTCCTGGCATAATCAAAGGAAGCGTAATGCATCTTCCCTGGTTAAAAAATAATGGGGACATCAAGAGGCTGATGATGACGGTGTATAACAACTTAGTATGCATTATATGTTGTTATCGCACGTTTGATAAGTGTACGCTTACTCTCGGCGCGGCCCTGTCATTGACCGATAACCTTTAATGAGGTATTAACTTAGTTCTTTGTACTGATTTATGAGTGTAGGTGACTCGGATAATTGATAATATGTTGTGACTTGATTCATTGAGTTGGAATTTTTTTATACAAAATCTCAGCACGGATTCGTATTTTTTCGTCTTGTAGTATTGATTATGTTAGTAATATATTACACCGTGGTGTGAAGTTGCTGCTAAAAGTGCTTTCTTTTTGAATACTTTTCGTGATTTAAAAACAACACAGCAAAAACAACTCGTTCTATCAAATAGTCCCTAAAGTCAACTATTAATCACTAGCAGTTTTCCTATTACTACGCTCGCATAAATTATAGCCTTAGACAAAGCATATGATGTAGCTTCCCGTAGATGAAAGAATTTTCTTGATTGGTTAAGTATCACCGAAGATTACAATCGAAAAAAGTTAGAAACTTTGCCTCTTTATAATGTTAGTATAGGTAGATGTACCCCCGACTAGAAAGTAGCCTAATCACATAAGTTATCGATCCAGCCGTTTCAGACAGGCAGACCGACAAAAAAATGTAAAAAATGATTGCTCAGAATATATACAGTGTATACATTCATATGTATTGAGTGAACAGCGGTTAATTTAATGTTATAAACAGACACTCTAATTTTATTTATTCGTATAGCTTTCTGAATCAATAATTTTATTCTAGGAAGAGCTGAAAGAAGTATTCGAAGGTTCCTGTAAGTTGATGCCCATCAAAATAGTGGCCAAAGAATGTATGAAGCTCTCTGATGACTTTGTGCCCGAGCTGGTGGAGACGCTGGCCTCTCAAATGAACCCACAGGCCGTGTGTTCTGTCGCTGGACTCTGCAACAGCGCTAGAATCGATCGACTATTGGAAGCCCACGTGAGTTTTTATGAACTGTATGTATGGAAGGAAAAATAAAAAATAATATGGGGAAAAGGGATGAAGATAAACAAATTATAATTGACATTGAAGAATATTTGTCGCTATGAAATAATGATAACGAAATAGAAAAATAAATTAAAAAAAATTATATAAAATAATTATAATAGATATAAAAATAATACACAAACAAGTTTAATTAGCAATTAAGAAACCTAATCTATAAATAATATTTATAAAAAGTTTCTACAATATATAACAGCAACAAGACAGAGCGTTGCCAATAACTGCATCTTTTAATTGATTTTTAACTTCAATGTGTGTTCTCAATTTCTAACTTCAATGTGTTAGTTTAGTTGATAATCGTCTGCTATTGTATCTATAGATACATCAATGTTGGTATTCATTAGCATAATTACAAAGTAAACAACGTCACACATTTTATTCTTTTGGAAAAAAAAGAAATATTAACATTCAGAGAAATTGGCAAAGTTACACCAAGGAAACGATCTAAATTATAATATTATTAGTTATGAAAACAATAATGACTGACAGGAAATCAGCTAATTTGATAAGCGTACATAGACTATTGTAAAAATAGATAAGACATGTTTAAAACAATTAATCGTGAAATAATGTTAACTAAAGTTTTTGTTAGTAAATATATTTTTTCTTATCTTTCCACATTTATGTTTTCTATTTGAAGGGGTTATGATATGTGATCACAATAATCGTTTTCATAAAGTCTAAATAACTTAATGTAAACTATATTTACAGATAAAGTCTTTAACGTTTAATATCACGTTCTTAAAATAAGTTTATTCTACTTCATCAATACATAAATATGTAATATATTTTATTACAATATGTTATCTGTTGAAATATATTAATAGCAATATGTTTACTTTAATAATATTAGTAGATACAGAATTTCTAGAAAATTCCAAGCTATTTACTATCATAACATAGGTTTTGTCATTAATCAAAACAGATTAATTGCCAGTAAATATCGGGTTCGCTACGAATACGAATGAGCATTTTAATTTTAATTTTCTAGAAACTTTTGAATAGGGTCAAAAACGTTCTATGGCGGGTGGTATATAAAGAGCGAGTCGTGATCTTGCATGCCGGTAATACTACGAGTGCCTTTGCTTTAACTTCAACAAAAAAAATGAATATGAGTACCAATCTTGGCCATTCCGCTACAGAAGCTGCACGTGACACATGCCAATAGGTACGTTCCAATGATTCCGCAGAGATTATTCCTTGATAGATCAACCTAGGTTTGGGCGTTCATTAAAAACAAATAAAAATAAACTGAAGATGTTAATTGAAGAATATTCTGGACGCAACACACGTCATTTGGCTGTATTTTAGCTTGTTTGTTCTCGTGGTACGATTGAAAACCAAATTCCGTCATTAGGAAAGTCTTACAAATTTGGTGTTTGGGTACCCCATCAACTGACTAAGGATAAACTCGCTTACCGTGGAGAGATATGTGTACATCAATTATTATTTCGTCGTACATTTAGCTGGCTAGACCATCTCGTCACTGGTGACGAAAAGTGGGTTATGTATGTTAACCATACATGCAAGCGCCTGTGGCTAGGCCGCAACGTAGCAAGCAAATCTACGCCGAATCAAGATCTTCATCCTCGCAAGGTGGTGCTCTCTGTATGGTGGGATGTGCATGTAGTAATACACTGGGAAAATTCTTCTTACCAATACAATGATCAAAGCAAACGTGTACTGTAATCAAATCGATAAACTGAAGCTTGAACTTCATGTATAAGCGTCCACAACATGACAAAATGTTTTTCCTCCATGATAATGCATGACCGCATATTGGTAAAAGTACCCGACAGAAACTATTCAAGCTGAACTGGGAAATAGTCACACATCTTCCATATTCACCAGACTTAGCGCCAACAGATTTTAGTTTATTCCGGGCAATTCGTAATCATTTGCGTTAAAAAAGCTTTCATGATGAACCCCAGACACAACAGTACATAGATGACTTTTTCAAATCCAAACCGGCAAAGTTTTGCAGAGATGTAATTCAGTCTTTGCCTGATCGCTGGCGTACAGTGGTAGATAACGACAGTAATTACATTGTGAATGATGATTACCTATTATTTCATAAATAAATAAATAGAAATTTAAGATACGCGTTTCGCCCATTAAAAAAAAAAATAAATAAAAATATTTATTGGATACATAATGACACAGTTACATATTAATTGTTGAAGCCTCCTTTTAAGCATACTGATGCCTGTACCAGGAGACTTCGCTCCCTCATAAAGAGTTAACAGGTGTCTTTTAGCATCACACTAAAGTTATTAGTGAATTATCACTGTCCGTTGTCTAGCATCCACCATTTGTTAACAAGTTCTTAATGATATATAATTTCGGGCTAGACAATTTGTTGGAATATTTATATGTTTTATTAACTATAAACTATTTAAATTTTAACATTTTAACATTTTCCTATCACTAAATAATACAATCATGCTGTTTCAATATTTTTTTTATATGCAGTGTGTAAGCTCACCATTATTTATTTATTAGCCAACTCGATAGATCCTGTTGTAAATAAAAGGCTACTCGGAATAGCCTAGTACCCACCCAGAATAATAATTTCAATGACAACATTATTTAATGGGAATATTGATAAACATTTTTTCGTCAAATTTATTACTTTAGACTTTCGTCATGATTGTGTATATGTTATAATGTAGACTTACTAGTTTTTACAATGACACAGACAGATGACTCATCGGTATGACGTCACACGTTTTAAATTTTTGTTTACAGTCACGTGACACGCAGCTAAAAAATGAGATTTTGCACAAATATGCGTATTTTGAACATATTTATAAAAATTCTCTCTCAACACGAGACTTATCACAGTTATCACCCAAACAAAAGATGTCGTGAACGAGTGGTAGAAAAATAATGTTGGACCATTCAAAAGTGCTTGAAACACGTTTATATGAATAAAATAAATTTGATTGGACTTTGACTAATAAATAATGAATATTGATCACTGTTAATAACCGTATATATCTTTTTTTTAGGAAAAGAAAAAAGAATCAAAGAAGTTGGATACACATAAAGGTGCGTTCTCTATTTAACAAATGCTATCATATTTACTTATTATATTAATTCTTTTGAAACATATCATATTACGAGGGCGCGTACACCCACTTTTATAATAATGAGGAAAGCGGATGAGTAATTAATTTAATAACCGTTTTTTCGACATGCGTCGTCAATTGTCAGTCTCAATAGATGGGTACAGTATTCTGGGTTTGCGCCTCCTTTTCAATTAATACTATACGTGGAAAAAGAACAAACAATTATTATATTGTAATGATATTGAATTAAGAATGAGTCTCTGTTATGGTATATTTAATAATGGTATGAAATTCATTAGTCTAATGAAGTTATTTTTTCTATAAAAAAGGGTTAAAGAAAATCTCTATTGAGCCATAGAATTTTCAACTGATGGCATACATTTTCGATTCACCAGTACTTATAACAACCGACACTGAATAAATAATATTGAATTTGAATTGTTTATTTCAGTTCACCTTGTGGGCGCTTCTCATTGCACCTGGGGTCCATCATATTGGTGCAGTAATTTCAGGTATGTTAATAGTCATATTTAACTATATATAGGTGTTGTAGGTAGCAATTGTGTATTGCCGCAGTAACTTTTATAAAACTAGTCTCTAATAGTGTAATAAACAAAGTTATACGTCGAAGTAAAATTACCCTATGATTTAGTCCTTGGTTGGGGAAAACTTTCTTTGTATTTTATATGAAAAATATTTTTTTTTTTAATAAAGTTTATTTACATTTAACTAAAATATGTAGGTAGGGACATGATCCCATTGCTATATAAATTTTGGGGCTTCTGATCAAAAAACCGCAGCATTGGTATTGGCAGTCCTCGCGTGATGTTAATCTGACACTGCTGCATTGACACCTCCCAGCCACTCTCTTAATTTTTGCTCAGTGGCAAAAGATGTGTATGGTTTAGTGTAATCATGATGAAAACCACCCTTCTATTGATTAACTCTGGCCACTTTCTCTTAGCTACTTGCTTTAATCTCATCAGTTGTTCGCAGTAGAGTTCAGAATCGATGATTTTGCCTGTCAGTAACAGCTCATAATGAATATCGCCCTTTCAATCCCACCATACACACAGCATCACTTTGTTGCGAGTAAACCCGCACTTCGACGACCTTTGACCACCTTTTTTTTGCACGTTGTTATAGTAAGTTTTCATCACCAGTTCAAAAATGTTTAGGTTTCATTACGCCGTAATATAGAATCACAAATAAGTACACGGTTCATTAGGGTTTCTTTCAGGGAGCTCATGAGGAACCTAATTATCCCACTTTTTGTTTACCCAGCTTTTTTCAAATGCGCAGAAACTATTTTGTGGTCAAAACCCAGTACTTTAGATACGTTGTAACTGTTGATATGCTGATCTTGCTCCACTTTTTCAAAAAAAATTATTTGTCACTAAAAATTCCGGTCTGAAAATTTGTGCCACTCACAGAAACTAGGCCCATAAACGCCACAGATTTTATTTCGCGGCATACGTTGCATTTTTACCTCTTTTGTAATAAAACTTTTAAACGTATCGAATTTCTTCATTAGATTCACTCATTTTGACAGTAAGAAAAACAAACGAGAATCAAACATTTTCCATATTTGAATTCGGTGATCTTCTTTAAAGCGGGGAATTCACTAGACAGGCATGCCCGCGGGCAAGTCTGCAGACATGCCTGCTAGACCTCGTTACTATAGGTCTGTGTCGTGTCTGCCTAGTGTAGGTCCGTCACGGGTAGTTTGCCAGACTGCCCGTCGCCCGTCCGTGAGATCTCATTTTGTCTGCGCGGGCACAGACAAGTCTGTAGGTGAATGTTCACAGCGGGCCGACTGCTCAGACCCAAGCCGGACGTCGCAAACGTCGTTGACGTGAAACAAAATTAATTTTAATGAAAATTATTTACATTTTGGGAAGATTTTATAAATATCCATGCGCACGTAATTGTATAAGTCACCTGGTTCATCAGTTTCTAATTCTCTAACTTAATTTATATGGCTAAACTTATTTCTGTTTTTATACCATTCTTTATACCAATCTATTTTCTTTTTCTTTTCGCCAAATAGAATTAATGCAGCAGCAAATAATGCTATTTTTCTCCGTTTCGTAGCCATCGTAATATGCACTGATAACACAACCAGTCGCTTAGCGCGTCGAACACTAACTGACGAATTTGTGTAGTGTGTAGTGAACGACAGACATGCCCGGCAGACTTGCCCGCGGGCGAGCCTGTCTAGTGAATTCCCCGCTTAAAATTAAACATTATAATGTTCCCGAAACCAGATACAAATGGTATAGCCAGAAAGATTTTATTACAAATTTATGCTTATTATAGGAGACTTTTCCCCAACCTAATCAAGTTTTAATCATTCATATTAATAAACAGAGATTAAGCAAAGTTTAATTAATACGAGGCAACAAGAATTTGAGGACCTATTGTGAGTACCATGAGGAAAGCTAATGATAGTGATTTAGGTTCCTATTTTCAGTAGATCTATTAATATGCATAAATAATAAGTTAACATAATTATTTCCTTGTTAAGACGCTGAATAGTGCCAAATCGATAAAATTGATCTAGGATTGTACTAATCCACGGGAAACCTATGGCAATCCAAAAATTTGTGGTTATACTTGATCGTATTTCTGATCTTGTGGTTGAAACCGAAACATGATTGTATTAACTTCACTCGATAGAAAATAATTCCAAAGTAGCATCTAAAAATATTGCGAAAGGCACGTTTCTCAATTATGTGATACATTAGAGTAATGATATTGAGTACAAATATGTATCAAAGGTTGATATAAAAGTTGGTTATTCCCAATTTTTGATAATGTTATTATAATAATTAATATAATTTATTTTGTGATATGGCACATATGGTCATTTTTTTCAAGCAACTTTAAAGTATTGACATTTCTGTCACTCCTACTGCAATTGACAGGGAAGGCTATAGAATAACGCACACTAACTTAGTTCACGCTGAGGCGTGTTGCTAGATGGACCTATGTTGCTTTGTGCAGCGTTCTGACGTACCGAGATCGCTAAAATTGTAAAAAAAAAGAACATTTAAAATAAGTATTTTAATTTCGCTCTCATTTTAACAATATCTTTGGTGTAATGTACTAGGGTAGGGACCCGAGTGTCTCGAAGTTGTAAGTTCTAATCCCACTAGAGCTCGCATTTTTTCAAGTCGTTTTTTTATTATTTTATTCTAATTTTCATTTTTTTCTGCCATAATTTTAAAAAGCAACTTTTTTTTATTATTATTAAACAGTATAAAATGTGAAAATAAATATTTCTTTAGTATGACGTAGGCGAAAGTCAGACTGACATTTTCATACAAAAGCCCCGATATTGATGAAATAGTTCCAATAAAATACATGTTCGTGTTCCAATCCCATCAAAGAAGCATTTTTGTTTTACTTTTATCTTCTTTTCCCTAATATATTTTCCTCTCTCATTTTTTTATAGGTATATGTTAATCATTAATAATTCGTTAAAATAATTTTGAATATTATTTTATACAGTAATTAAGTATTATTTAATTATCTAGTCTAGTTGATAAATTTAATTGCTGTAAAAATATATAACATAAAATTTGACAATAGGTAAATATTTCCATAAAAGTATGTGTTTGCAAAAGTTTGACATTTTCATGCAAAAACCATCCCGTAGACCGTTACTCTAGTAAAAAATAATTCCTAATCAATCATATTGTGTAAATAAAATAGTTCAATAAATAGGTATTACTTTATAAAACAGATATAAAAAAGGGAATTAGTTACTATTGAATGAATTTGAAAATTATGGTAACAATGTACTAAATAATAATGTACAGGTTTTTCACAAACTTTACTAATGTTTGGTGTGGCGCAATGTCCTATGTGCTGGTCACTAGGTACTCATTGTGCCGCAGATCAAAACCAAGTTTCATATTTTTTTTTTACCCAATATTTTTATTATGAGAAATATAATATTAAAAATTATTTATGTGTTTATACTAAAATATAAATTATTATATTTAATAATTGTATAGATATTATTTTTGACATTTTCATGGAAAAACGACTGGATAAATTTCGCGGTAATTTGATACAAAAATACCTCTAGATATCCTTTATTGGTTTGCAAACTATTGCAGTACGCAACAGGCGTAGCCATACAATTATTGATAATGAAAAACGAAGATTTTTCTGTAAGGTAAATGTACAGTGTTCCGGACTAGTACACAATTTTAAACGATACTCAATAGACTATAGTTGTATTGCAACCAAAATAATACAATTTTAAGCATACTTGGTAATTTTGATAGTGGATTGGGTAGTTTCGATAGTGAAACGTAAAGCACGAATTTGCAGACTCATTGAAATTTGCTTTGAAATAAAGAAAGAAAGAAAGTTTATTGACCACACCTACATGAACACAATGATAATATATAAGAGAAGAAAAAAAAACAAAAATACAAATATAAAAAATAAAAAAATAATAATATCTAGGCTGATTTTGAGTAATAAAATCGCATAATTATCTTAACATATCAAAATTAAAGGTCCAGTCTTTTTGTTTATTCATCATGTGACTTAAAAACATAACCCACCATTACGTGACGACACTTCGTTTGAATATTTTCTGAATCTGACATCTGTCAGTAGTTGTAAAAAAAATAAATAAACAGCAGCCGATTTGACAGAAAAAGCAGATGCCGAGATAATACTGTTCTTACCTTATTTAATATTATTATTTTGTCGAGATCGTTAGATAACACCGTTTTCGTTTGAATAACATCATATTTTTTTTTTTATATATAGGATCAAACAGTTATGCAAATTTATATGAACATAAAATTGAAACATTAATAAACACATAGTTCCTACATTACTTTTGTTAAATTGGTTGATTGTTAAAAATAATTTAATTTGTTTGTACATTACTGTTATTTAATTATTATTATTGATATTTCAATCTGTACATAACAGAATATCGTCATGAATATGGCAGACGGTGTTTTTATGGGTGTAAAAAAGTGGAATTATGATTTAATTTTAAGAAAAGAAAACGTTTTTAATTTTTTGGAATATTTTTGTTGTCGATTATAAACACTTACAAGTACCAAGTAAGTAATTTTGCAATCAGAGTATAACACCCTATTATAAAAGCCGTGACAAGTTTTCGAACGTGACTGATACGATCGCACCGCTATTTCGTAAGACGTCGTTCTTTGACTTTCTTAAGATACTGATAAATTTATTGAAATAAAATTTGTGAAGTCGTTTTAGCTATTAATTGTTATCAACAGAAGGTTTTATAATTAGAGAACTATATTTTTTTTTTAAATCTACTTTCCGCATCACGGACGCAAACCTGTGGCGTATGGTTACCGTAATAATTGAAAATCGCTCCAAAATGTTACTAAATTTTATTCCTGACTGAGGTTGGCATTAAAAAATTAGATGTGAATAATTCGGTAATCAGCATTGATTATTGTGACGTAAGTGTGGTAAAAGTTTTACGGTAAATTTTACAATT